CCCCAAAACCCCAAAACCCCAAAACCCCACATTCGAAATTAGAAGATTTTTGTGTTAAGAATTGTTTTAAATTAATGATGATTTGATTATAGTTTATAAAAAAGACTTCGAGTTCAAAGTTATGGGACCACTGGTTCCATTTGAATACCACACATTCCATTTCCATCCCCATTTGCAATGATATTTATGTAGCCTTTTAGTCCCCATGAATCTGACCATGAATTTCTTACAATGTAGTACTATTTTCCATTGTCTACACCATACCCAACAGCAGCAACACCATGGTCAAGGTTGGTTCCGCACCAACTGCTGTCAAAGATACCACTTCTATAGAATTAGAAGAAAAGACTGTCTGCTTCAATGGCAACTGAAACTGGACCTTCAGCAATGGCTGCTTATAAGGTAGCGAATTTACCGGGTACAATGTTAATGTGGCCTTTATCTGTGGCAACTTCCTTTGAAGCTTCAAAAGCGCATGTTTGATCTTTTCCAACATATGGATAGTCTTTTTCGGTTTCGACTCCGCCGGCAGAAGCAATGTAGTCCATGGCAAGACCCATATCTCCACCATTGCAACCTTCGTTGCCGTTCTTTGAGCAATCAACTAGTTGCTGCTCTGAGAGTGATTAGAGTTTTCCAGTCTCAATAAAGTATCTACTCTCAAGAGAGGCAATTGTTGAGAAAGCCCAGCATGAACCGCATTAGCCTTGGTCCTTAACAGCGTTTACTGCTCCTTTTTCTCTCCAGTCAATGGAATCTGGAATATCCTTGAGGTTTGGTGTCGAGTATACTTCTTTTCCAGTCTTGTTTCTGGGTTTGTATCCGAGCATCTTCTTGTACTCATCGTGAGTGTAGTCAGCAAGATGGTTAGGTCCGAGGGTGAACGAGGTTCCATCGTTTTGAGAGTTGTGGTTGTTGATGAAAGCAATGTTTGACTTGTACTGTTAAAGTCTCATTTCAAATTCTTCCTTTGATTTGTAGGCTTTGCCGAATCTGCTCATGAAATGAACGAAGTCGATGTGATCCTGGTCAACGGTGTAGAGAGACTGAGATGATGGAGTCTCACTTAGAGCAATGACTGCAACAGCAGCAACAACTCCAACAACTGCGAGTGAAATAGCGAATCCTGTTCTCATTTAAGGTATTTTTGAGATAATAATTATTTATAATTAATTTGGATCCTAGTGACTATAATTATCTTTTCACTTACAATAAAAGCAAAAATATTCTATTTTTATCTTTGCCCTTTACTGCTTTACACGGGAGTTTGGGGTTTTGGGGTTTTGGGGTTTTGGGG